ACCTTCAGACAGACTATTTATGAAGGCTGCTTTATTTATCTTATGTTTTAGTCACCCTGTACCCATTATAGGTGCAGGGTGTGTGTAATGTAATTGTTTATAGTGTGTGTGTGTACTGTGAAATGTATTGCCTGCTCTCCTGTACTGCTGAGGTTTGCTACCAACTAGGTGGGTTTGGCTATGGAGCTTGTCTAGTGCCCTCTGTTGGTAGCAACAGTAATATGCACTACCTGAATTGCAAGACTGGTTCATTTGCATATTCGGGTAGATTTGCATATTGCTAATTCTGCAGACACGTGAGATATTTACTGTTAAATATTGTCTCCCCCACCCCTTTAAAAATGTGCCATTGTGTTGTGATAAGTCACTGTGTGTTGCCTGCTATGGTTTGACTGTTTGTGATTTTATTGAGTTTTCACAGCAATGTTAATGTTGTGACCCTATGGGCTGGTCCCAAGGGAAATAAAGGTTTAGACAGTTCTTCATGATCCCGCTAAATGTAGCCTTGTCTTGTTATTGGAGGGAGTTGTTATAATCACACTGGGGATTGCTATGCTCTGCATGCTCCCCTGAGCTTGAAACACTTAGTTCTTTTAAGAGCTTGTTCCTGACATGCTCTCCTTGGAGGAGGGGTCTTCACCACACAGTCCTGGATGCTGGAGGTTCATACAGGGTGGAAGGAAGCGTTCTTTCCCACACAGTCCTGGAGGACAGAAGCTGATCCAGGGTGGAAGGAAGACAGCGAGACTCCAGTCAAGATACAGCGGTTGCGGAGTCTGCGGTGGTTGTGATGTCTGCTGCACTGCTTGGAGTCCTCAGGAAGCGCTACGAGCATCCGTCAACGGAGGGTACTCAGTTGGAGTACAAGGAGCTCCGTTACACCTGCCTTGGACAGCTGAGCATGACAAGCCAGAGGGAGAGGAGTTTGATGGTCCTGGCTTGTTATGGGAGTCTTTTTCAGAGCCCGAGTTTGGGAGCCCTACACAAGCCCGGTTCAGTGATCTCTCTGAGTGGAGGGAGAGCAAGTATGACTGGGACAACACTCATGAGATTGAGCAAGACCTGGTCCACCTTGTGACCTGAGAGATGGAGCTGGAGCAGGGAGGGAAGTTATGATGCATTGTGGGGATGTTTTACCTCTGTGTGTCTGTCATTGGTTCATGTCTGTCCTTTGTCACAGTCTCCCATTTGGTCCTGTAGGGGAGTGTCCACCAGGTGGGAGACCTGCATAAATGCTGGGCAGGTAGCCCTCATTAAACCAGACCACTGCTTGACCCTCAACACGGAGCCTTGTCTCGTCTTTGGGGGGACTTACTGTATGCTGATAGAGACTGATTGCTAGGAGTGTAAGCCACTTGGGTGCTTTTCCTATTCGTCTGCTAGCAGCTATTCGTGAGGTTCCAGTTCGGGAGTTTGGAGTGCTATTTTGTATGCAGTTCGGGAGTTTAGAGCATTACCTTATATGCGGTTCGGGAGTTTGGTGTTTTACTGAAGCTGCCTTTATATGTGAAAGGGGAATATCGCCTAAACGGATTTTAACCACTTGTGTGCTGAAACGGTCCGTTACATCCTCCCTGTATCCCATACCCTCCCTCTCCCCCCCTCCCTTCCATGTGTCCCATACCCTCTCTCTCTCCCCTCCCTTCCATGTGTCCCATACCCTGTCTCTCCCCCCTCCCCTCCTTGTGTACCATACCCTCCCTCCCCCTCCCTTCCATGTGTCCCATACCCTCTTTCTCTTTCCCTCCCTTCCATGTGTCCCATACCTTCTCTCTCTCCCCCTCCCTTCCATGTGTCCCATACCCTTTATAGGGTTATTGCATGTTTTGGGGTCCCTGTGATATGTTTTATAATACTGTATTTTCCTGCCTGTGATAATTAAGTTAGTCTATTGTGTTGCGATAATTGTATCACAGGCAGAGGGGAGGATTTCTGATGTAATGAATGGGAGTGTTAGCTTTGTTGTAATGTGTTGATTGGTTGTTCTTCAAAACCCTGTGGGCAGTACTATGTTTGTAGAATGTGAATAAAAGAGGCTGTATGTGCCAGTACAGACAGTTCTACTTCACCCTCAATCTGTCTCTTATTGGGGGAATTGCTATATCACTACAAGGAATTGCTATGCTCTGCATACTCCCTTAGCTAATCACAACTAAGCTCTTTTAAGAGCTTGTTCCTGCTTCACTCTCTTGGAGGAGAGGTTCACCCACTGGAGCCTTGTCGTAGGTCCAGGGTGGGTAGGAGACGGCGAGACCCCAACCAAGCTGCGGTGGTTAGTGGGGTCTGCGGTGGTTGTGGTGTCTGCGGAGCGCTTGGAGCCCTCTGTAAGCGCTAGGAGCATCCTTCAACGGAGGTACCCAGTCGGGGTGCCAGGTGATCCATTACATTGGTGGCAAGCGGTGGGTTGGCATCCTAGTGCGAGGAGAAGCAGCTCAGAGACACCGGTAATGTGTGGAGTTACAAATAGAGGAATAGAGCTAGCTACCGTGCAGCTTCCCTATCTACAGCAATTGGAGGAAGAGTTCCACTGGAGATTGCAGGAGTTCCATGGAGCCGAAGGTATCATCCTTCCTCCCCAGCGGCAGAGTGAGTTCCTGGGAGAGGAGACAACCGGTCTCTCTCCCCAGTGGCATTGTGCCCCCCAGGGAGCCACTTATGTATTCGTGACTTTTATGATGAATGTATGTTAAAGTATATTTCGTGCGGCGTTCGGCTGATTGTGTGAGGATCTAAACGGTACTTTCACGAAGTGTGCGCTCAGACCCCAGCTATCTGCCGAACGGTCATTCGGTACAATGGTACGAATAAAGTATAAGTTACATATTTTTGTGTGAAAAGCCGGTTCTGCTGTACGGAGGGATAATTCACTTAACAGGATATTCTTGTGGGAGTATCCCTCTCGTACAGCAGTGCATGGTGGGAGAAATGTCCTGCATGTTCAGTTCCCTATGTAGTCCCCTACTGTACAACCCCTGTAAAGTGACTAAGGAAACCCCTTGCATGGGGAATCACATAAATACTGGAGCTTGTGAATAAAATCGTCAGTTGACTCCCAGAACTGTGTTTCGTCCGGTTACTGGGGGATTTGTGATATTGCCTTCATTTTCAGCGCTTTAATTGGATTACTTTCTGTACTAGCAGAGATATTGGGATTTAATATTGCAGCTCCGCTACATGTACAATACAGAGTCTGATCTCCCACATACTGTACAATACAGAGTCTGATCTCCCACATACTGTACAATACGGGTCTGATCTCCCCCATACTGTACAATACAGGGTATGATCTCCCCCACACTGTACAATACAGAGTCCGATCTCCCACATACTGTACAATACAGGATCTGATCTCCCCCACACTGTACAATACAGAGTATGATCTCCCACATACTGTACAATACAGATACTGATCTTCCCCACACTGTACAATACAGAGTCTGATCTCCCCCATACTGTACAATACAGGGTCTGATCGTATTGGGAAACGTCTGATCTCCCCCATACTGTACAATACAGAGTCTGATCTCCCCCACACTGTACAACACAGGGTCTGATCTCCCCCCACACTGTACAATACAGAGTCTGATCTCCCCCACACTGTACAATACAGAGTCTGATCTCCCCATATTGTACAATACAGAGTCTGATCTCCCCCCACACGGTACAATACAGGGTCTGATTTCCCCATACTGTACAATACAGGGTCTGATCTCCCCATACTGTACAATACAGAGTCTTATCTCCCAATACTGTACAATACAGAGTCTGATCTCCCACATACTGTACAATACAGAGTCTGATCTCCCCCCACACTGTACAATACAGAGTCTGATCTCCCCATACTGTACAATACGGGGTCTGATCTCCCCCATACTGTACAATACAGAGTCCAATCTCCCCCATACTGTACAATACAGAGTCTGATCTCCCCTACACTGTACAATACAGAGTCTGATCTCCCCCATACTGTACAATACAGGGTCTGATCTCCCCCACACTGTACAATACAGGGTCTGATCTCCCCCATACTGTACAATACAGGGTCTGATCTCCCCCATACTGTACAATACAGAGTCTGATCTACCCCACACTGTACAATACAGGGTCTGATCTCCCCCATACTGTACAATACAGAGTCTGACACCCCCACCCCCCCCCCCACACTGTACAATACAGAGTCTGATCTCCCCCACACTGTACAATACAGAGTCTGATCTCCCCATATTGTACAATACAGAGTCTGATCTCCCCCCACACGGTACAATACAGGGTCTGATTTCCCCATACTGTACAATACAGGGTCTGATCTCCCCATACTGTACAATACAGAGTCTTATCTCCCAATACTGTACAATACAGAGTCTGATCTCCCACATACTGTACAATACAGAGTCTGATCTCCCCCCACACTGTACAATACAGAGTCTGATCTCCCCATACTGTACAATACGGGGTCTGATCTCCCCCATACTGTACAATACAGAGTCCAATCTCCCCCATACTGTACAATACAGAGTCTGATCTCCCCTACACTGTACAATACAGAGTCTGATCTCCCCCATACTGTACAATACAGGGTCTGATCTCCCCCACACTGTACAATACAGGGTCTGATCTCCCCCATACTGTACAATACAGGGTCTGATCTCCCCCATACTGTACAATACAGAGTCTGATCTACCCCACACTGTACAATACAGGGTCTGATCTCCCCCATACTGTACAATACAGAGTCTGACACCCCCCCCCCCACCCCCTTACTGTACAATACAGGAGCAATTGCCCTGCCCACTTGACACTTTGGCATAAAAGTAGTTGTGAAGGATTTTCCTGCACGGGAATGCTAGTAATGCATTAACTGCATAAACCTTGTATTTTAAACCAGTTTGCAGGGTAACGGAGCTCTGTAGTCTGATTATGTTTATTAATATCCCTCCTTTTCCAGCAGGACAACTTCATTGATTATAGCAGCTCACCTAAACATCAGCGGAGACTTGATGAAAGGTGAAAACAAACACACTTTATTTGGTCCAAATTTACATATTTATACACAGACGCTGGCAGGAGGTAACTATCTGAAACCCGTGCCCCTCTGTGTCTGGGAGATAATTAGATCCAGTACCGCTAATTTAATCAACTTCCAGACTACATGGCGTCTTTACACAATATCCCCAAAAACTACTTAGAAACATCACAAAACCCCACTTTGTACAATACTTAAATCTCTCACTATAAATAAATTATATAGGAGTTTCACTGTTCTTGGTGTCTGTAGTAAACTTTGTATTTTTGGAATCGAAGGTCCGACTTGTTTCTTCGGCCAAGACATTCCTTAGAACTGCTTTGATGGACTTCCTGAATTTGCTCTTGAAGTCTTGTCCCATCAGAACATAAATGATTGGGTTTACACAACTGTTAATAAAAGCTATGGCAATTAAAAGAGGGTCCACGACTAGAACGGACGCATATAAACCTGATTTAATGTTATGGGCTGCTAAAATGAGCCCTGCCACGTGATATGGAAACCAGCAGATAAAAAATGCAGTTATCACCACGAGGACCACTTTCAAGGTCTTACTCGACTCGGTAAATCGTCCTCTGACCTTTGACACTAGCACACTATAAGTGATTGTAATGACAAAAAATGGAATTACAAATCCCATGAGAAAACGGAAAATGGCTATGAAGTTTTCAACCTTTTGTTGGTGTTCACCAAGATATGTGTAATCCATAATACATTTTGTTGTACTGTTTCGCAGAATTGTTTGCCTGAATATAAAGGATGGACTGGTCAGAACAAAGGCAAATATCCAAACCACCCCACATGCCACATAGGCTTTGTGCACGGTCCTTTTGTTTTGACACCATACTGGCTTGACGACCAAGGCACAGCGGTCTATACTAATTAAGGTGAGGAGGAGAACGCTGGCATACATATTCACCAACAGAACGGAAGGAAGAGTCTTGCAAGCGAAGAGGCCGAGCAGCCATTTTTTCTGTAGAATTATTTCCATAATCGAAAATGGGACAACGAAGCAGCATAAGAGGTCCGCCACGGCCAGATTCAGAAACCACACTGTGTTCACTGTTCTCTTCATTTCGAAGGCTGTCATCCACACTACCAAGCCATTACCAGGCACGCCAATGACAAACACTAAACTGAAGATGCCCAAGGCTGCCCATTCATACGGCGTTGTCAGAGTTTCTTGTACTGGAGTGTTTGTAGGCAGTAAGGAATTAATATCAAATGTGTAATTGTCATTGTCGTAATAATCACCAGTAAAACTGTAATAGCCTGCCATTGCAGATCAGGAGATGAAATCTTTTGGAACCTTTAAAAACAAAAATAAAAATGATATTGTAGAGTTAGTGCTTGTATGAGCACCATAAACACGTTCAGAGTTATTTACAAAACACAGAAATGCAAACTTGACACTGAAGATGATTTGGAGAATTTTTACAAATTCGGTATTTTACGCTACATTTTGCCGCTTAGTTTGTAATTCACTAAAAACCCTTGATAACTAGGAAAAAATTTAATATGTTGTCCCAGCAGAAAAAAGATCACATGATTAACTATTAAACAACTACCAAACTATTGTACCAGGGTATGTGGTGTCTGATAAACCAAAAAGGAAGACGGTTACTCAAATTCATATCAAAATGTTTTCTGATTGTTTTGTATAGCTACTATCTAATATCCGAACAGTTATCAACTGTCTTTTTTTTTTTTAATCAACTGATTTTTGGTTTTGTCTGCACACATGCTGCTATCTTACATCTTCTCATCCAAATTAATAGAGAAGAATTGTGGACCTTCCTCTTACAATCAATGCTTTCTATGAGACGCATTAGACAAGGTTACATGAAAGAACTGAGTCTAACTTGGGTCTCACAGGCGAAGCACCCTCTAATGACTGCCACGAAGGCACTAAAGGTGTGCTTACCCTGCAATTTAAACATTGCTGTACCTACAAAACAATAGTGTTTAACATTGCATGCCTAGACTGTCAGGACACTGCACCCAGACCACATGGATGAAATGGTCTGGGTGTCTATAGTGATTCCATACACAGGTAGGCAGACAGGTAACAGCAGTTTCATTCATTGGAAAAAAGCCATATTCATTTTATAAAACAATCTTCTCATTGTAATTCCAAACAGAGAGAAAAACCAATTCTTTCTCAATGTATTTAGCATGATCTTTAATGTTGTAACACTGTATGCTTGTAATCAATAGCAAAGGAGTCAGCTCCTTTTTTTGGGAACTGAAAGGGGAATTTAACATTTTAGGCCAAAATAAGGTTAAAAAAGGAGAAAAACCTACTCCCCCTCCCCCCCAGACATTGGAAAGCCTTGACAGACAACCAACGAGACTCCCCAAACATAATATGTGCAACAATGTCACCAACTTTTTATTCTGTATTCATACACTGTGAAAATGGACACTAAAGACAATGCGTTATGTGACGGCCTTGTTTTTGTTTATAATGATGCCTTCTGTTATCACAAAAATAATTTAAAAAACCCCCACAGTTATAGAATTGTTTTAAATTGAGCTATTGAGAAAAATGTGGCTTCAAATAAACTTTATTTCTTTAATCATAGTTCATAGCAGCCCAGAGAACACGGCTACTGTGATCTTTCTTTAGGTTTTTTAATGTGTTTTATCAAATTATTGTAAGTAACTAAAAAAGAAAAAAGGAGAGCCTGGATATGAATATAGGCACGAATATGGGTAGAAACAAAATGGGGGGTAACCCCTAAATGGTGAATTTATATGAATACAAAAATGAAAAGAAAAAACTACCATAAAGTGTCTCAACATTTTGGTAAATATAGTCACAATGAAATGGGCATAAAAAATAACTTTTAATGGATATATTAAAATGTAAAATAGAAAAGATAAAAGCAAAACAAAAAGCACAAGGCTACAAAATAATAATATGTCCTATAAACTAGTTAGGGTATTAAACCTCCAATAGAACCAATAGCAAGAGAAGTGTTACTTCAAAGAAATACTTATTGGTGTAAAGTAAAACTACTTACTATGAACAATGTGACTGAATGCTAAATAGAGAAGTGGGATACTAGTATCTTGTAAACTCCTCCCGCAGAACAGGGTCGGTGGAATATAGATGGAATGCCTCTAGTGCACAAGGGGTTAAACAGCACACCAGTTGGTTGCAATGGTTAATAGAAAGAGGCAGGGAATACCTGTAAAATAAAGAGGTATAGGAGACAGTTGCAAGCTAGGTTAGATATAATGGTCAGTAGAAATATAGAGACTATAGGTAATCCTGACGCTTGCTAGCAAGAGAGGTGGAAATACAAAGAGATACTTTAATAGTAAAAAGTTAAGCCACTTTCTATAAACAATGTCACTGAATTCAAGATGGGAGGGTGGGGTATTAGTATCCTCTGAACTCCTCCTGCAAAACAGGGTCTGCTGTATATAGATAAAGTACCTCTAATACATCAAATTATTGTATGTTCACGTACAGAGAGGGCATTAGAAGTTGCTAAACATTTAAAAATAAAATGCATATCAGGATAATTGTAACATAATATAAATATTCATTCTTTTATTGTAGTCATTATGGTTGTAGGAGTACCCTGGCAGCATAAATCCAAATGTAGGATATAGGAAAGCTCCCTAAATTCCTGTATCTATTTCGCACGATAGCTCTGCCTTTCCTGATTCCATGTTTGAAGGGAATTCAGAGGTTTCTTAACTCCTTCGTAAATGTATTTAAAAGATCTAGTGTAGCAGGGACAGAGTTATACAGACATAAAATGAGAGTAGGTTTGGGCGTCCCGGAACTAATGACATGCTATAGCAGTATCAGCGATATCTCAAACCACACTACTCTGCTCAGCCCAAAGAACCGAGCTGGATAGATGTAGAATATGCAGTAATGTCCGATGTCCCCCCAAAGAATAGCACATTGTGGACCCCTGAAACGTTGTCATTGTAAGTTGTACTATATACAGTGATCACACTGTCCAGCCAGGACTTTACGTTATCTTTATGGTTCTTAATTAAATATTGTGAAACCGGTTTAATAATATTTCTACCCAGTCTTTTCACTTAAAATATATACCTCGTGCCAGTATACTAATATTCTATTATATACGTTTTCTGTATCGAGTCCTTATTGAAGGTGAATCAAAAATAAAGACACAAAAAATGAGTGAGTCCGTTTTACCAGTTTGAACTCTTACTTTGGACCGCACCAGACGCAAAGTATCTTCTCCTGTTGGCTTACAACATCCAGCTCCTGCAGCAAAGCCAGACGTCAATCCCGCAAGCCTTCCCCTGGCTGAGAGCCTCAGATAATCACTCTCAGCCAATTAATGACACTCTGTTCATAGAAATGTGCTAAAAACTAACTTTTATCAGCCTGTACCTCTTGTTGTAGTCTTGCCAATGACACCAAAGGAGTTAAACTCAGAATGTGCAGCATTTCATAACGAAACACTGAACAAACAGGCTCCAGGCACCATGACCACTTCAAAACACTGACGTGGTTAAAGTGCTTGAAGTAATGCTTTAAAATATTACCGTAAACAAGTTTGTAAACCAGAATTTCGTTTGGAGACAATTACCTAGTGACATAAATGATTAATCTTAATTATTAAATGAGACAGGTTATTAATGAGTAAATATATAAAACGTGCAGATTTGGAAAGATTGGGAATCCAGCTGCTGTGATACTCACGGTGATCAGATTCTGCTCCCACGACAGAAAGACGCTGTATGATCTGTTCCAGATTGGGATCTGCTCAGCAACAAGGACAGTTCTTCTTTTATTGCCGCTCTGTATGATCGTCACTGACTTACACCACATTCTGAATTAAGAAATAGTAAGATTGGCATCGTGGCAGGAAATCTCTTAAGGGGATCCTGTCCCTTTCTTACTTACAGTAACTTACTTACTTACAGTAACATGTCTACACTTCCATTCATTGACATTTCAATGGAGCGCAATTTCATTGATGTTTTCTACTGCCAAGGACTAAATAGCTGAGAGAGGTGGGATGGCTGAGAGGTTGGGTGGCCAGGATTGGCTGAGAGGTGGGATGGCTGGGATTGGCTGAGAGGTTGAATAACTGGGATTGGCTGAGAGGGGGATGGCTGAGATTGACTGAGAGGTGGGATGGCTAGGATTGGCTGAGAGGGGGCATGGTTAGGATTGGCTGAGAGGTGGGATTGCTAGAATTGTCTGAGAGGTGGGATGGCTAGGATTGGCTGAGATGTGGGATGGCTAGGATTGGCTGAGAGGTTGGATAACTGGGATTGGTTGAGAGGGGGATGGCTGAGATTGACTGAGAGGTGGGATGGCTAGGATTGGCTGAGAGGGGGCATGGTTAGGATTGGCTGAGAGGTGGAATTGCTAAAATTGTCTGAGAGGTTGGATGGCTAGGATTGGCTGATATGTGGGATGGCTAGGATTGGCTGAGAGGTTGGATAACTGGGATTGGTTGAGAGAGGGATGGCTGGGATTGGCTGAGAGGTGGGATGGCTAGGATTGGCTGAGAGGTGGGATGGCTGGGATTGGCTTAGAGGTGGGATTGTTAGGATTGGCTGGGAGGTGGGATGGCTGGGATTGGCTGAGAGGGGGCATGGCTAGGATTGGCTGAGAGGTACGATGGCTGGGATTGGCTGAGAGGTGGGATGGTTTTGATTGGCTGAGAGGTGGGACGGTTAGGATTGGCTCAGAGATATGTTGGCTAGGATTGGCTTAGAGGTGGGATGGCTAAGATTGACTGAGACGTGGGATTGGCTGAGAGGTGGGATGGTTAGGATTGGCTGAGAGGTGTGATGGCTGGGATTGACTGAGAGGTGGGATGGTTTTGATTGACTGAGAGGTGGGATGGCTGGGATTGGCTGAGAGGTGTAATGGTTTTGATTGGCTGAGAGGTGTAATGGTTAGGATTGGCTGAGAGGTGGGATGGCTGGGATTGGCTGAGAGGGGGCATGGCTATTATTGGCAGAGAGGTACGATGGCTGGGATTGGCTGAGAGGGGGATGGCTGAGATTGACTGAGAGGTGGGATTGGCTGAGAGGTGGGATGGCTAAGATTGACTGAGAGGTAGGATTGGCTGAGAGGTGGGATGGCTGGGATTGGCCAACAAACTGGAAATTCACTGTTGGAAAATGTTTTTACTTTAGATATAAACACCTTGTTGCAGTCATTCATACAGCCATGGAGCTTTCTTCCACTTCCATTTGCTCCACAGAGGTTTGTTGGGCCAGTCGCTCCTTTCCTCGCCCCCCTTCTCAATGAGCTTTACTACAGCAATCGCATGCTCACGGCTCTAGCATTGAGGCTTTTCATGTGGATAACGGGGGGAGGAGGGGGCTTTCACAAGCTGTTTTTTTTGTTTGTGATTATATAGCCCCAAAGAAGACATACATGGAAAAAATACATGCATGTTTTCTTTGGGACTATCTACTAAATATTTAAAAGAGGAAAAAGCTCTAAAAACCATTAGAATGTTATATTAATCTTCCTGCTTTACCAATTTACCTGATTCTGAAAGAATCCACGTTTTTATTTTTTTATTCTTGAGTCTGTGTGCGTGCGTCTCGCCTGTTTTCTTTGCTTTAATTTTTTCTTTATTTATTGTATGTCTCTCTGTTTTTTTTTCTGGGGAAAACGCATTAGTTTTCGATTCCTCGTGTTGTTTCCCCTGGGGATATATTTGTGTACAATTTGTTTAAATGTATTCCATTGGTTTCCTGAGTTTTTCCTCTCAAGCACAATTCATCAACATTAATGATCAGACAACCCACAATGTGTCCTTTCTTCATTGTTTAACAGTCACTCTACATCATTAGTAGTTACCTGATTCAAGTTGGTGCATCTACTAACTGAGATATCATATAGCGATTCCCACACTCGTTTCCCTTAATCCACGTGCCTGAAGTGTAAATGATTTTGTAGTTAAAATATCCAATCTTTAATATAGTCACCTTGTTTAAACTGTCCTATTCACACCTCCCTGCAAGTAACGTGCACAGCCGTCCTAAACACTTCATGTAAAGCAAAATGTTTAAACTTCCTTTATTACAAATTCTGTTTAATTTAGAATTTCTTATCTCCTCCTTTGTTAATAGTTTGCTAGACCCTGCATCATCCTGTGTGTGAAAGAACTCTGATTTCAAACCAACCAATCAGAGTGCTGTGACAGGTAAATGTAGAGACTTACCTGTCAGAGCACTTTGATTGGATGGCTTAAACCAACCAATCAGAGTGCTCTAAACCTAATTGCAGGGCGGGGCAAAGCTTTATAAGCCTTCTTCCGCCCTGCAGAGCTCAGTCTGCACGGAGCCCTCCATGGGTGAAGATGGATTATTTTTTCAGCGTCTGGGGGTTTTTGTCTGATTTTTGTTTTCAAAGTGTGACAGGTATTATGTTTTTTTTATTTGGCCGTTTTGGGGGCTGAAAAAAGAAGATTTTAGAAAAAATAAGACATCATGTGTCGGGAGGGAGGTCACTTGGGGGTGTTTTTGAGGGGGGTTTTAACAGTGAGCAGCCACAGGCTATAACGCAAGTAGGAGCAGAATTTACTAATACTAAGTCATTTTTAGGTCTTTCAGCCTTTTGGTAGATAGCTCCGTCATACCTTTCCAATTACTAATTCCCATCCATTGACAGGCTAAGTAACTTACATTTTATATGAATGTATGTTACTTGATTGTTGTAAGTGTTGCAAATGCTTACAGCTGAATCCTGGCTACGTTTGTATACTTTTTATTTAAAATTGTATACAGTGTAACATTCTTCATTCTTCCACTGTGTATATTAGTACTTCGGCTGATCGGCTATTTGGCAAATCCGAAATTTGGCACTTCGGCTATTCTGTGTTTCGGGACTTCGGCACTTTGGTTTGGCACTTCAGGACTTTGGCGGTTCGGAATTGACATTCGGAACGAAACGAATTACACATATCTATCAGAAACAGATTCTTCTGACGAGTCTGACAGCTCAATAGTAATGTAAAGACAAGGGTCAAAATAAACTATTGAAATGAATGTGTGTGCTCGTAGCAAAAAATAGAAGTACACAAAAACAGAGTAAAGGGGAAGCTCATACGACAAAAGGTAGCAAAACACAACATGGTAAAACTAAAATTGCTGTTACATATGATTCATACTCATGCATAGTACACTCACTTCATGCACATCCAAAGACTAAAGTGGGGAGAAAGATTAACTTGGGCAAATGTGTAAAAATATTTGAGTTGTCAAGAGAGATACAGGGCCAGGGAAATGGCAGAGGATGGCACAGGGGACAAGACACCAAAAATACCAGAAACATATAAGGAATGGGTGAGATGTTTTAGAGTATACGCCTCCTGTTACATAGATGGACCTCTACAAGAGGCCATTAATATTTTAAAATACACGGATATCATGGACAAAATACACAATAAGTACAAGGGTATAGCATGGAGAACGTATGATTCTGAATTCAGGAGGAGAATAGAGGCTAATTCCCTACTAAATTTCGGAATGCAAGAGATGGACCTATAAACTAGACTAGGAACATGGGAAGCCCCACAACTACAATTTGGGGGGAGGAACTGGCAAAGAAGACCCAACTTGTACTTTCGGAGAATAGGGGGTAGAGAATGCTGGAATTTTCAAGAAAAGCAATGCGATAAAGGTTAGAAGTGTCTGTTACAATACGCATGCATACATTGCAGGGAGGACCACCAAGGGTGCGAATGTACTAGGAAATGGGACACAGGTTATGGGAGGCAAGGATACATACATCCAATGGCTCCAAAGACCACCAACGCCGCTAAAATTAGAACCCCTATTTGAGTCATTAAATAATTTCGCAGCTAAAACAGGAAAATTCTTGCAGGAAGGTTTAAAATTTGGTTTTAAAATATCAGTTAAGGGAACAGTAACGGGAAATAAAATTACAAGGATCTTAAAACAAGCATATGACTTCCCAAACATTTTAAAAGAAAAAATGCAAAAAAAATTAGACCTGGGAAGAACGACAGGCCCGTTTAAAAAACAGCCCATTAATAATCTCATTGTATCACCATTGGCTAGAATTCCTAAATAAGAAAAAGGAAAGTTTAGGATGACATGACACCTGTCACATCCAAAAGGGAAGTCAGTAAACGACACGCTGGACCCCACAGAAACGTCAGTAATTTATCAAATCATTTGAGACAGAACTAAAATTAGAACAGGAAGTTGTCCCAGGGACATTAAGGGCAAAGGTAGATATCGAATCAGCATTTCGATTACTACCAATCCATCCAGAAAGTTTTTATTTAATGGGATGCCAAATTAATGGTCATTATTACATTGACCGTTGTTTACCCATGGGTTGTGCGATATGGATAATATAGATCACCATTTGTAAGCCTATGAACAAGCAGCCATTGCCGCAATTTGTAGATACTATTGGATTTAAAGACTTTAACTTTATGAGCTCCTTCCCAATCTAAAAATGGCTACAGCAACTGTATGGTGAATGCGGTTGTGGGGAATATCATGTGACGATTTCAAGACGGCATTATGTCACTGGTGTCACGATGCGCGTGATGACGCCGCACAAAAGACTGCCAATTTGGAGGATGTAAACGGCGCTGAAATCGATGAGAAAATCTTTTTTTTGTTTGCCCAGATAAAAAGAAGTACATGGAGACTGGACTGTATGCACCTAGAAGAAGACCTTTGAGGTTGAAACGCGTTGTGCCTGTATTGTATGCAAAATATTTGTATTATTTTATTTGTTTTCATTGT